AAAGGTGCGAAGACTGAGGACGGCGGTGTTAAGGGAATTATCACCCTGAGTTTTGTGGACACCATCGTGTTGATTATCTTTGAGTCAAAATTCTATTGGTAAAATTAAACCGTGAAATTTCACCATAAACCTATACACTGTTTCTATATGCTAATTGTAAATGTACATGTTTCACTTTCCCTTTACTCTTTCAATGGTATTGTTAAATCTTCAGGACTCCAACCCAAACCGGAAGTAGATTGCTCCGAAGTATTTGGTCATTGTCATCTCAATTCTATTTTTTTTTTTTGTAAACAATGTTTTATTCATGAGAGAAATGGATTAGGGAACAGGCTTTCGCCTATATCACCCATTTCCTCAACACAATTCACCATTAGAACTTCTAAACTTTTCAATTTTGCTTGCCCTAGTCTTTGCATAATGTTATATATAACAAAATTCAAATTTTAAAGCTAACGGCTTTAACCGGAAGTTGACTTACTCCTTACTCCTATTTCTTTACTCCAAAAACATAGGTCCTTTACCAATTCATTACTAACTCTGTCATGAACTGATCGGTCAAGTTTTAGCTCTCAAAGTTTCTAAATACTTTTAATTATTATGTATATAATAGAAATAATATTATGATATTTGTCGACTCGAACACATGGGAAGCTCATTTGATATAAAACAACATACATTGTATTGTAATTTTCATAAGAAACTACAATATATGCCGATTGATATTTTAACAAAAATATCAATTTTGAGAAACCAATCACTATAAATTGCCATTAATAAACTTAATTAAACACATCATAACGTAAAGAAATTATTATCCTTAAAAATTGCAGGTGCCAGACTCTCTTAGACTAACAACAATGCTGTAATTTAAAGAAGGCAGGTTTGATATTCGCACTATTTGAATCAGGCGACCGTAGATTTGATGTGATGAGAAGTGTCAACTTTGATCAATTGAGACTTCCGGAGGGTTGTGTAAATGATATTTAAAGGATTTTCTGTTGTTTTCATTGGTCTATTTTGGTAAACAATTCAACACGAAGATGAACCAGGTGTCCTTAACCGCACCTTCACAATGTCAAGCTATTACGAACTTCGTACTTATACCTTGGCTGCAATAGCCACCTTTCTTGTATCACATAATTCAGCGATTTGATTGGATTGTACGTCAGCGAATGCAGTCAATCAGAGCCCCCAACAGAAAGACTGTATACATTACGGCTTTGTATTCGCAGACTGGATTGGCTGTATTCACTAGCGTAGCTTCATTTACAAACGTTCATGATACAAATTTAGAAAGGTGACTATGGTCCAGGTATAAGTACAAATTTCGTAATAGCTTGACATTATGAAGATGCTTTAAGCCTATCTGAAGAACATTTTAAAGGAATTGAAACACATCTTTATAAGACATGGATACACATTTAAGTATGGATATACCTTTTTTTCTTTGAAGCATTAGCACTTCCAAAGAAAAAAAAAACCAAAAACTGCAACATACAAGAATTACTTTATTCGCTTAAAGCGACCCTTAAAATTTACTATTTGATTGCACTCTAGCAGCGCGACCAAGCGATGAAGTTGAATTTCTCAAGGACAGCAAAAGGTCCTCGCCAGCGACCAATTGTCCATTTCGCCTTCGTTTAAACCCAATTGTTTGCAACGTATTAATGTAAATACAAAGTTTGAAAACGCAATATATTTCTTGCTCATGCCTTTTATAATCGCTTCGTTATCCTTATGATGATAAGTAAAGTAAACGTATGTTAGCCCGATCAGTAGTCCTGTGATTCAAAATATCAGGTGCTGACCGAGAAATTTAAATTTGCACCTACTCTAACTCTACAATCGTCAATAAAATAAGGCTCTATCATCACCATGTGTGTTCACAGAAACGCCTTTTTAAAATCTGACATTTAACGTTTCAATTTGAATTCTTTGCATAAACTTTTTGCCATGTTGACATAACACCTTGTTGGTTCTGGGATTTGATTGGTTGACGAAGTTTACCGAAGATGACGTGACGTGACTGTCGTAAATTGTGATTAGAACGTTGATCACGAACCGTTGTTAGAGAGTAAACTCGAGAAGATAAAACAGTTGCTAAAGGTGTTAATGTCAACAGACAATGTTAACATAATGCCTGAATGATAAGATAACCATTTTGTTTGTATGTTTGTTCGAGTTAGCCATCTTAAGAGTAACCGACTGATAAATTCGATGCTCCATTAATGCGCGTAGTTACTGAACGTCACTTACCGAATTGATAACCCCTCCCTTAACATTGACAAGGGCACATAACCCAATTTTAACTTTTTGTTTTCCAGTAATCTGTATTTAACAGCAAATTGTCAAACTACCTCCCAAGGATTGACGAAATCGTTTGAAATTGCAAGTAGCCTTTCATGACATAGAGGTAAGAATAACGCTACTGCAAGGGGAATTTGGTATCTGCAGTTTTTGAAGCGCTAGATGACTGAGTTCTGCACGTTGGGGATTCATTGAATCATCTGAAAGTTCATTAAGATAAGTTGGAACAGGGTGCCACGTTTGCCGAAAAAACAGAAAATCAGTAGGTGTAGATAGAATTCAAAACGACGGAGAATGAAATAGATGGGAAATTTTGAATGTGACATATATCTTCCGACCCGTTCGATTGGGAACCTGTTCAGAATTCTCTAATGGAGCGTCACCTTTAAAGGAATACTACGTCTTAGAATAAACATAAAATTTAAAATTTTTAAATTTGGCCAATAAGAGCATATATTCATCAGTAGATATACCTGGTGTCATAAATAACATAATAATATAAATAATTATATAATCCGAAAAATCCAAAAAGCTTTATAAATATGCAATTAACTATTGAAAAACGCTAAATATTATGATTAAGCGTTTTTCAATAATTACTTAGTTTTATGAATTTTCCAATTTTCTAGATTTTACAGGAATTCTGGTGTAACTTTATGACACCAGGCAAGTTCACTGATGAATATATACTCATATTGACCATTCTTGAGAATTAAATTTTATGTTCATTCAAAGACGTAGTATCACTTTAGGTATCGAGACAATATTGAATACGCCATCGTCTTACTTTATAGTTCATTTCTAGACATTCTATATGCAACTGGAACTATGATTGGGGATGCAAAATTCAAGGGATATCGGAGTTCACATTGAACAAGACTTCACCATGTTGAATTCACCAAAACAAAAAATTCAGTCGGAATACCTTTTTTTGAATGCTGCATAATAAATATACACCAATATTATTTTACAAATTAACACTATAAAAATGAAAGCCCTTAATGAGATATTTTTTTTGAATTTGAAAGTGATAATTTGTGAAAATGAAACAAAATGAAAATATGAAATAGTGTATTAAGTGAAAATGCATGAAATAAGCTTGAATATATACAATATTACAATATACAATTAATCTATATAAACTACAAAATTAATAGAAGTTATTATATACAATGTCCGGAATAAATGCATATATATAAATAGATCACAGAAATAAAAAAATAGCACCATATATAATATAATTATAAATTCATAACACAATATAATATGATAATTCTTACGATATAATGTAATAAAGTTCAATCTAGCACCATATCATATAAGTACCATTCTGCTATCATATAATAATTTTCCATGTAGCAACAAATAGTATTACAATTCAAAATCTTTCAAATCTAGCACCTTATAATAAACAATTTTTAGCGACACAAATTATGATAAATCTAAATGGAGCATCATAATGAACCATATAATATACCTAATTTCAATGAAGCATCATAATAAACATACGTTAGCTCCATATAATATACCTAATTTCAATGAAGCATCATAATAAACATACGTTAGCTCCATATAATATACCTAATTTCAATGAAGCATCATAATAAACATACGTTAGCTCCATCAGCAGCATCATATGATATGATAATTAATTTTTAGCACCATATAATATCAACAAGTTTTAATTTATATAACTATATAAAAAAAAATATGTCTCAAACGTAATATATATCATATTTTATGAAGAATTCTTAATCTATAGCACTATATATAATAAATAATTTTTGGTATATTATATTTAACAATTGTCAAACTGGCAGTATTAATAAGCATCCAGTCATATAAATATATCGTAACTGTTTCTTGTAGTATATTACATACTTTTTATGAAGACACCAAATATACAAACGCATTATCAATGAAATAATATGATTTAATGATGATCAACAAACATATTACGATAGCAAAGGGAATGAAAAATGGTATGAAAGTCAATTTATGAAAAAGGTGAGAAAAAAAATATATCACAGAATAGAAAGGTATTTTGGAAAGCATTTGAAAAGGTCGCATTCTTATGAATGGAAACATTATGGTGGTTTTCAAATACAAATTTCCAAACTTAATCATCATAGTCAGTGGCCAAAACTCGGCATTTTTCTAACATTGGATTCATACTGATATTTCCAAAAGTCGTCGTGTTAAATTTGGTTCTGGCATTCTGCAAATATAAAATAATAATTATATTAACTCTATTTCCACTGAGGGTAGAAGCCAGTTCGGAGATATATATCATGAACACAAACGTAATAATAATTGAAAATATTTTAATGATATCATTACGGCCTTCAAATGTTAACGGGAACACTTTCAGCTTATATTTGCACGTATTCTAATTTCTGGTCCCAGGCCTATGCCCACCGTGGTTCGTGTTATTCCAAACGAAACTTAACTATATAATCATGACATTGCAAATAACATTCAAGCAAAATGAAAATCAGAAAGTGATGATGCATTAGTAAATCATGAAATTGATACACAACTAGATCCAATTTCCCCAATATCGAATCAGACGAATATATACATAATATATACACAGAGTACGCATATGCAGGTGTAATTTGCAGCGTTTGATCAGAAAACAAACGTACCTGAAACGTTGATGTTTCGGCTTTTGTAACAGCCATAGCGAACAATCGAACGCATGCCATCAGATTATCAACATTGAATTTAGTATAGTAGACCAAGGCTGGTGACCAGGCCGGACCACTATGGAATAGGAATCTAGCGAGGTACAAGGCACTGGCAGCAACTCGACTGGCTGAGTACTGAACAAATCTTGTGTGAGTTAAGGACAGATCCATCAAATATAAACATAAATTCTCGATCTGAAATTGAACAGTCTGCCAATTAACAATTATACATTAATGTCGAAAATGCCATAAATACACGTATCTGTGAACCTGTATTTGACACAATTTTAAGACGAAGACATTTTTCTCAAAATATCAAAGATTAACGTTCGAGCGTACACGTTATAACTTACCGATTTGATAACGTCAAAAATAACGTTTTTTCTTTAGTTAACGTACACGTTTAGTCGTACGAATTTTTGAGAAACGGGGTCCTTGATATAATGAAACCCGCCGAAGATCTTGAACCCATATAATTGATTTTGACACCTTATTAGTATACTGTATTATGTTTTAGCTGCATTCAGAGTTTCACCACATAAGAATTGGCCAAGTAGCAACTCACAAAACAGAGCACTCTGGTGTGAATCAATCCATGTACTATCATATTACAAGAATTAGGTCAACACACAAATGTACTGATACCTGATGGTACTTCTCTTTCGAGGAGTCCACAACTTTTGCTCTCGGTTCTGCCATTCTTTGGACGAAATTTATTAACGGAATTGTCTTGCTTGTACGGGCCTGTATTTGTTATTCTTACCTCTTCCTCGTGTTTATCAACTTGTAAATATCTATCTAGAAACACAATAGGTCCAGGTACATTCAGGTCAAACATCAACACATTCAACACATCCTTCTCCATTGATAGCACCTCATGTGGCTGATAAGCACCTGCTGTCAACTGACACAGGTTGGGGATCTGAAAAGGTTCACACTCAATAAAAGAAATTAAGGGAGGCTGATATAAAAAGTGTTAACCTGGATTGTTATCAAAATAGATAGAAAGATGGAAAAATGTGAAAAGCATAATTTCGAAATTTCATTTTTCTATTTATTGAATCTAGTCTTTTCGGCTCGTCAGACGTGATATTTAGATGTGATGTCGTCAATGATAGAGTCATTCGCTTAAATGAGAGTTGTAAAGAGGTTTTCTAAATTTATTATGTGTATCGTGGACATTTATAGCATTCATTTGCACCATTTCAATTTTGAATCAGACGCCTGCAATTCTACTAAAACTAAAAACTGTTTGAAGAAGGGTGTTACACACGAATTTTCCGATAAGTGACGTCACCAAACACAATTTTTTGTGAAATTGCAGGAACCACTAACGTCTAACTGAAATTTGGAATGGTGCAAATTCATGCAACCAGTGTCCCGATACAGATAAAAATTAAGAAAAACCTATTTATCATCCCTTTTAGCCCGATCTATTTTTCGATCGATATTTGTTGAGAATTTACCATGACAAAAGCAAAGTTTGTCTTAACTTTTGGTATTGTTATTGCGCTATTTCAGACTTCCGCCTTCATAATATCAACAACGTCTCGCAAGTTTCCTTATGAAACGAACGATATATAAAAAGACCATCTTGAGTCAGTTCAAGCAATAACAAAAAATTATTTTGAAACATACATACTTCAGTCAGTAAAATTTCAAACTATGAAAGAAGGGAGGTAACTCTCACCTCTGGTGGAAAACGTTCGATAACTTTGGAGGCTATCAAAAGACAAGTGATACCAAGCAGTTGGAGTTTATTCAAGTGTAATAACTTCAGCGTCAGGAATCGATCTATCATAAATACACATAAATGTAACGATTCCGACGTTAACCCTTCATAGGTCTGAAAACAAGAAATAAAAAAGGTAAAGAAAACCGTCTGTTACGTTCATCAGTACCAACATTACAATTTTTCTACCCCTTTGATAAATTTTCAACTACGTGTAGCTTAGTGACTGGGATTTACCAGCCTCAATACCTGACCTGGAAACGCCACTAATGCAGGGTTCAATTTAGATTGAAAATTTGAATAGCAATCCATAAAATGTCGGTGGCAATTCAAAGTTTTCCATTGTAGATTTCAGATCGATCTTGGCCATGACGTTAACTCCATAAGGTTTTAGAGACTGTCAGGAGTTGCCGTATATTTCTTGATTTGGCAGACAATTCTCACTAAAAATAAACTATTTTATTTGATTCGCAGATATTCGTGATAAATTTTAATTTTGGTTAATCAAGGCAAATTTTGGTTCATTATTATTGTCATATTGATTCGCAAACTGCGATGCGATATCGCTAAAATTGAACCCTGCACTAATGGATAATAGAACTACACAAAAATTACCTGAACTTGTCCAAGCCAATCAACCAGAACTCCTCTCATTTTATTGGTTATCTCCCCTTTACTTATATACTCAGCTGATCGCAGTAGTGTCGTATCTCGAGCCTGAATGGGAGAAAGTGTAATACATAGATGGTGAAAATAAGTCTTTGGTATTCAATTCGTTATCGTCTACTCCATAACCAAGCAAAGATATTTTTGTACACATTGGTCCATGAAGTGAGGACTAAAGTGAAGACGAATTTATTGCGAGCGTATAGTTATAAATTTCCGCACAATTCCGTGGTCTATTTACGTATACAAATGAATACGTAATCATTCCATATAAGGTATATTGGGACGAACGTCCCAAAGTTCGACGGGTAGCTGTTGGTAAACTGATCTCTTTCAAAATTCTCACAGATATACTTCAAGATGTCGTTGTCCAACCCAAACCCAATACCAGCTGTCAGAAATGATAACAAAGTCTTTAGTGGCTTAATAATGAATTTTCAAATAATTGAAATATATTTATAAATCAAGGCAAAACCTGAAACAGTTCATCAAATCATCATCAAATTCAAACATGAACAATGTCTCATCGCAGTGCACACAAGGGCAATAACTCCGAAACTGTTCATCCGATTATAACCTATTTCTAACTAGACCGAGATCTCATCAATATATACATGCATCTAGTTTTATCAAGATTGGATAAAAACTGTTGTCTCAATCTTGTCTGCAAGCCGATTTTGACGCGTTTTTACTAAGTCAAGGGCAATAACTCTGAAACCTAAGAGTTTTCTTTTGTGGCTAAGGGGCACTCTTATTTTTTGGGATGATTATATAATTGTTGTGATTAAAAAAAAAAATATATAATTCAAATTAATCGTCTTAACATGAATTGAACAAAATCATTGCATAGCATAATCAGAATTTGGCTGGCTAGTCAAAGACGATAGCAAAGGGTCAATTTTTTCAGAAGGTCTTACATTAAATATGGACTGGAATTTTATTTTTGGTGCCGATCTAACCAATTTAGACGGAAATTGTTTAAAAATGTTTTTTTTTATTAAATGGTTTCTAGACGATGCCACTACAGGGCCATTTTTGTCATCGTCCACAATGGTGGGGATGGGACAGAATTTTGATGGAATTGACAGAAACCCTACCCCATGATGGCTTCAGACCTGTGAATGTAACAAAAGTTCCAATATAATGGCATTTTCATACTACCGGCACGCCAACGACGAAGCCTCTACATATGGCCAAAATTTTCGACACACTAAATAGTTTTGGCAACGTTATACCTCCATAGAAGAAACAGTATAACAATAATAACTTTGTTTTGTGTGTTGTGTTCAATTTAGATGGTTATTCATTTTTTCATTTTTTTGATATTGTCTGTTCAAACTTTCAAACTTATATAGTTAAGTTTTTTCTATCTCTACTTGAAAAACAAATGAACCACGCGAGGCGCCAGATCTTTTGCTGGAATGTTTCTGGAAGATATTATTTAGTGTGGTTTTCCTACATTTGCTATTTCAGTATAAAATATTTATGCTTCCATCATGTACTCAAATATTATGTGTATATATGGAATTTAACATGATTACCTGTAAATAATTCATGATGTCTTGACCATAAAATGAACACAATAGAGGACAATTAACAAGATCTATATCCAATACTCCTTGTGGTGGACCCTTCTTAACTTTCATCAAGGCATTTTCAATGTCCATAGGTTCATCTTAAAGGAAAGAAATCGGCACCGTATAAATGTCACATTGTCATATTGTTAAGGTAAAGTGGCTCTCACACCATAGCGATCAAGAGTTGCGTATTGCTGTGAATGAGAATAGCGGCCATATGTTTCGAACGCATTTCGCATGCAACCGAGTTGAGAGTTGCATTCGTAACTCATGACCACTTGTATTATTCGAAACCACAGCAACTCGTAATCGCCAAGGTGTGAGGGCACCTTAAGCTTTGAGATATGTCAAGTCGCTGGAAATGACTCTTTCTAGAAGCGTAAAATCCAGTCCACATTTGTCTGCTCAAAAGATCTTACACACGGTTACCACAAAATAATCAAAAAACGAGGGAAAATGTCTACTCATCTGAAAGCAGGGGATTTCTGAAAATGTGTCCTCAATACTCAGCGCCAGAAGATTTTTAAGAAATTTCAAATGATTGATCGTGTAGAAAGTTCTTAACTCTTACCAGTTAGAATTTTTCTTGGTGGGGAGTGGACTTCAATTTCTGTATTTCTCTCTTTCTCCTTATTCCTCCGTTTTTGCCTGGCTGATTTGTTGTAAACCGCCCCTGACATGAAAGGATAACAGGAAGTACATTATGTTTCAATTACGAAAACTGTTATAATTTGTTGTCAATGATTTAAAGGCTATCCATTGCTTTACAAGATGCTTTGATGGATTCATTCAACTAATTCAAGCTCCAGAGCTTCGAATTTACACTCAAATCATAGGGGTTTTTTTATGTATGGTCCATGGTTTTACGTGTCCAACCCGTATTCGGGATACGATGGTGTATGCATTACTATTGTTTTCGCAACTTTCAAGTTTTTTCGAAATATCTGTAGAGGTCACATTAAAATGAATGAGATATGGATATGGTTGAAATTATTTTGATGCAAAGTGATTCTTTTAATAGCTCCACTATATTATATGCTTATCTCTACTATTCATTTTCGAATTAATTGAAACGTTTAACAGAGTAAATCTCAAGTAGCTAGGAATATTATTATCTCCTTCTTAAAGAGAAAACCTAAAGTAGCTAGGAATATTATTATCTCCTTCTTGAAGAGTAAATCCAAAGTAGCTAGTAATATTATTATCTCCTTCTTAAAGAGTAAATCTAAAGTAGCTAGGAATATTATTATCTCCTTCTTAAAGAGTAAATCTAAAGTAGCTATGAATATTATTATCTCCTTCTTGAAGAGTAAATCTAAAGTAGCTAGGAATATTATTATCTACTTCTTGAAGAGTAAATCTAAAGTAGCTAGGAATATTATTATCTCCTTCTTGAAGAGTAAATCTAAAGTAGCTATGAATATTATTATCTCCTTCTTGAAGAGTAAATCTAAAGTAGCTAGGAATATTATTATCTCCTTCTTGAAGAGTAAATCTAAAGTAGCTATGAATATTATTATCTCCTTCTTGAAGAGTAAATCTAAAGTAGTTAGGAATATTATTATCTCCTTCTTGAAGAGTAAATCTAAAGTAGCTAGGAATATTATTATCTCCTTCTTGAAGGGTAAATCTAAAGTAGCTAGGAATATTATTATCTCCTTCTTGTAGAGTAAATCTAAAGTAGCTAGGAATATTATCTCCTAGTTAGGAATATTATTATCTCCTTCTTGTAGAGTAAATCTAAAGTAGCTATGAATATTATTATCTCTTTCTTACAGAGTAAATCTAAAGTAGCTATGGATATTATTATCTCCTTCTTGTAGAGTAAATTTAAAGTAGTTAGGAATATTATTATCTCCTTCTTAAAGAGTAAATCTAAAGTAGCTAGGAATATTATTATCTTCTTCTTGAAGAGTAAATCTAAAGTAGCTATGAATATTATTATCTCCTTCTTAAAGAGTAAATCTAAAGTAGTTAGGAATATTATTATCTCCTTCTTGAAGAGTAAATCTCAAGTAGCTATGAATATCATTATCTCCTTCTTGAAGAGTAAATCTAAAGTAGCTAGGAATATTATTATCTCCTTCTTGAAGAGTAAATCTAAAGTAGCTATGAATATTATTATCTCCTTCTTGAAGAGTAAATCTAAAGTAGTTAGGAATATTATTATCTCCTTCTTGAAGAGTAAATCTAAAGTAGCTAGGAATATTATTATCTCCTTCTTGAAGAGTAAATCTAAAGTAGCTAGGAATATTATTATCTCCTTCTTGTAGAGTAAATCCAAAGTAGCTAGGAATATTATCTCCTAGTTAAAAATATTATTATCTCCTTCTTGTATAGTAAATCTAAAGTAGCTTGGAATATTATTATCTCCTTCATGAAGAGTAAATCTAAAGTAGCTAGGAATATTATTACCTCCTTCTTAAAGAATAAATCTAAAGTAGCTATGAATATTATTATCTCCTTCTTGTAGAGTAAATCTAAAGTAGCTAGGAATATTATTACCTCCTTCTTGAAGAGTAAATCTAAAGTAGTTAGGAATATTATTATCTCCTTCTTGTAGAGTAAATCTAAAGTAGCTATGAATATTATTATCTCCTTCTTGTTAGAGTAAATCTAAAGTAGCTATGAATATTATTATCTCCTTCTTGAAGAGTAAATCTAAAGTAGCTATGAATATTTTGACCTCCTTCTTGAAGAGTAAATCTAAAGTAGCTATGAATATTATTATCTCCTTCTTGTAGAGTAAATTTAAAGTAGCTAGGAATATTATTATCTCCTTCTTGAAGAGTAAATCTAAAGTAGCTAGGAATATTATTATCTCCTTCTTGAAGAGTAAATTTAAAATAGCTAGGAATATTATTATATCCTTCTTGAAGAGTAAATCTAAAGTAGCTAGTAATATTATTATCTCCTTCTTACAGAGTAAATCTAAAGTAGCTAGGAATATTATTATATCCTTCTTGAAGAGTAAATCTAAAGTAGCTAGGAATATTATTATATCCTTCTTGAAGAGTAAATCTAAAGTAGCTAGGAATATTATTATATCCTTCTTGAAGAGTAAATCTAAAGTAGCTAGGAATATTATTATATCCTTCTTGAAGAGTAAATCTAAAGTAGCTAGTAATATTATTATCTCCTTCTTGTAGAGTAATTCTAAAGAAGCTAGGAATATCATTATCTCCTTCTTGAAGAGTAAATCTAAAGTAGTTGGGAATATTATTATCTCCTTCTTGTAGAGTAAATTCAAAGTAGCTATGAATATTATTATCTCCTTCTTGAAGAGTAAATCTAAAGTAGCTAGGAATATTATTGTCTCCTTCTTAAAGAGTAAATCTAAAGTAGCTATGAATATTATTATCTCCTTCTTGAAGAGTAAATCTAAAATAGCTATGAATATTATTATCTCCTTCTTGTAGAGTAAATCTAAAGTAGCTAGGAATATTATTATCTCCTTCTTGTAGAGTAATTCTAAAGTAGCTAGGAATATTATTATCTCCTTCTTACAGAGTAAATCTAAAGTAGTTGGGAATATTATTATCTCCTTCTTGAAGAGTAAATCTAAAGTAGTTAGGAATATTATTATCTACTTCTTGAAGAGTAAATCTAAAGTAGCTAGGAATATTATTATCTACTTCTTGAAGAGTAAATCTAAAGTAGCTATGAATATTATTATCTACTTCTTGAAGAGTAAATCTAAAGTAGTTAGGAATATTATTATCTACTTCTTGAAGAGTAAATCTAAAGTAGCTAGGAATATTATTATCTCCTTCATTTTGATTAAATCTAAAGTAGCTTGGAATATTATTATCTTCTTCTTGTAGAGTAAATCTAAAGTAGCTAGGAATATTATTACCTCCTTCTTGAAGAGTAAATCTAAAGTAGCTTGGAATATTATTATCTCCTTCTTGTAGAGTAAATCTAAAGTAGCTAGGAATATTATTATCTCCTTCTTACAGAGTAAATCTAAAGTAGCTATGAATATTATTATCTCCTTCTTGTAGAGTAAATCTAAAGTAGCTAGGAATATTATTACCTCCTTCTTGAAGAGTAAATCTAAAGTAGCTATGAATATTATTATCTCCTTCTTGAAGAGTAAATCTAAAGTAGCTAGGAATATTATTATCTCCTTCTTGTAGAGTAAATCTAAAGTAGCTAGGAATATTATTATCTCCTTCTTGAAGAGTAAATCTAAAGTAGCTGGGAATATTATTATCTCCTTCTTGAAGAGTAAATCTAAAGTAGTTAGGAATATTATTATCTACTTCTTGAAGAGTAAATCTAAAGTAGCTAGGAATATTATTATCTCCTTCATTTAGAGTAAATCTAAAGTAGCGTGGAATATTATTATCTCCTTCTTGTAGAGTAAATCTAAAGTAGCTAGGAATATTATTACCTCCTTCTTGAAGAGTAAATCTAAAGTAGCTAGGAATATTATTATCTCCTTCTTGAAGAGTAAATCTAAAGTAGCTAGGAATATTATTATCTCCTTCTTGAAGAGTAAATCTAAAGTAGTTAGGAATATTATTATCTACTTCTTGAAGAGTAAATCTAAAGTAGCTATGAATATTATTATCTCCTTCTTCAAGAGTAAATCTAAAGTAGCTATGAATATTATTATCTCCTTCTTGAAGAGTAAATCTAAAGTAGCTAGGAATATTATTATCTACTTCTTGAAGAGTAAATCTAAAGTAGCTATGAATATTATTATCTACTTC